TAAAAGTATAAGGAATTGTATGGAGCTCTCCGGGATACTTACAGTACAAGCCGTGTGCGTCTTCTCATGGTCAGATGCCTTACCACTAGGCCACTGAACCAACCCCGCCATTCAGCGGAATTAGAAGGACCTTTAAGTAGCAGGTTCTGGGGAGAATCACACATTTTCTGCAGTTAGGATCGCGACACTCCGCTCAAGTTGATCACACTGTAAATTTCCCCCCGAATATGGAATAATTGAATAGGATGAGCAGGGAAATAATTACAACTAACTGCCTCATTTATATATATATATATATATTTCGTGGCATTTATCTGGCCTTAGGAGGGACAAATGCCCTCACGTAATAGTTTATAACAAAGTAAAACAAATAAAGGAAAAAAAAAAAAAACATAAAATGCACAAATGCACACTTCCGAAAGAAGTACCTTTTTCAAGACGAAGGTATGCGAAACGAAAGGGATTTTGCAAGTTTAAGTAAAAAGCCAGCATATTTACCCCACAACAGATGCACGAGGATATCTTAAGGGGTTACTCAATCAAAACGTTTACAAGTTTATTAAAGAGGCACTATATTCTATGTCGGCTAAAAACGGGTTACCTTATTTGCCAAAGATATCTTCCTCCTAGAAAACTTTGTTTAGGTATCCCCCACCCCCTGGAATGGGTTCTATTCAAAAGTGGACCCCTTTAGTAGTTCTGAGATTCAGGAAAAAATCAGTGATCACCTTTTTCCCCCAGCGTCATTTAGAACACATCTTGTCCTGTTCTCAGTGCAGAAATCCGTTGTTACAGATGCCATTTTGTCTTTGAATGACTTGTCCTTTTCGAAATCCCATTCAAACTGTCAAAGAAATGTTAAAAGGAACTCTTGTTAATGGAAGCTTTGTGTTCAAGCCTTGCAAACACCTCATACAGTATCTAAATGTCGGGCGAAATTTATCTACGAGTTAGCGAAAACAACTCTCAGTTTTTCTGCGGCAACATTGTGCTTCGAAAAATTGACTTTGATTCAGTTTAGACTCGTTGTGTTTATCTTCTTTCTTTTTAGAACTAAGACATTTTACCTCCTCTTTTCGATTACTTATGTACCTCCACTTCGTGAAAGACAGCTGTTATGGAACTCAGCCATTTTCCTGGCAAACTTCCGTAAAGGTTAAAGTGCACCTAACCCCAAAAGTTTTTTTTCGCTAAAGCAAATCCACTTGTTATTTGAAACATTTTGGCGAAAAAAATTTTGAATTTGGTTGAATCCTCAATTTTCTATGCCCTTTCAAAGTCGCGCCTGAAGTGTTACGCGACCGCGTTTCAGGGAGTCTGGGGCGGCGGTTGCTGATGACGTCTACCCAGGAACCAAACACAATGGCGACTAAGTCAGCTCTCTGAATTTGCTCGAGAAAATGGAAAACAAAACTAATCGTTCCAATATATTTTGGGACTAAAACGTCCAAGTTTTATTTCAAAATCATTTCTTTTTCGTCACTGGAGTCAGAGTTAGGTTTCCATGCGGAAGACACCGAAATAAACTTCGATCGAGCGCGTTCGCCACAACTGTGAACTCACTGCTTAGAGCTTTGAGAACAATTTGCAATATTTCAAGCGACGACGGGGAAGACTTCTTTGCGGACGAGTTGCTTCTATATTAGGAATGGAAAGCTAGATACGAAGTGGAGGAGCAGGCAAACGAAAAGCAGGAAAGAAAACTCAAGGACTGCTTTGGATGGTAATT